CTGTGAGTCTGTGTGGCTCAGAACTCGCTGTGAGTGACCAGGGACACTGGGGATGTGCAGGTGTCAGCATGCTGAGTGCTCTCAGAGCATGTTTTACTTGAATATTCGAAGGAGGTAAAGCCCTGAGTGAGCCCTGAAGGGGTTGTCACGTGCCGGAGCAAGCCAGGCTCAGTCGCTAACTGCCCTTTCCGGGGATGGGGAGTGGGAGGAGGGACGCGTCTGTTAAATGGTAAGACAGGTGGGAAACCATTTCCTCCTGATGGAAACATTCTTCTGAAAATAAAACAAATCTGACCTGAAATTACAATAACTTGTAAAAATAAATTTGAACACTAACACCAAAGCAGAGTGTTAGGCTAAATGTGCATGAATTTTTAAGATAGAGGAGATACTGAGCAATGCCCAGGTGCTGGAAGCCCCCGGCTGCAGCCTGCTCTTCTTGCCAGCAAGGTGGCTCGTGTGTGAATGTTTGAGAAACGTGAGTGGAGGTGATGGGAGCCCAAAAAATCCCCCAGGAGGGAGAGAGAGAGGCAATGTGGCTGTCATCCAGGACAGCTGCCCGGGGTGAGGCTGGGTGCTGGGGCCCAGGAGGACTGTGAGTGGCAGTCACGGGACATGGGGCTGGGGCTGGGCCATGTTCCCATGTGAGTCCCCTACAGGGGCAGGGCTCTGCCCTGAGGCTGAGGACACGCCCACACCACAGAATTAGAGCTTGGGTTGAACAGGTGTCACAGAGGCCAGCTGGCCTGGCCGGGCACTCACGGGTGGCAGCTGGGCCGTCCAGGTGCCCACGAAGCTGAGGGGAGGTGCACTCTCTCCCGGTCATCCTGCACCTGGAGCCGGATGGGCCGCCTGAGTCCCCAGGCAATGCTGAGGAGCCCCTCGATGATCAGAGCCCCTTCTTCCTGTGGGGGTGCACAGAGGTCATCCTCCACCCCCGGGACAGTCACTCTCAGGGGTCACTGCCCATCCTCCCTGTGCCCCCTCAGAAGTGGGACACCGTGGACACTCAGGCCCCAACACACCCCTCCTCCTTGGCGTCCCTTCCTCTCCTGGGAAAGGGCCATCAGCCTCTACGTGCTGTGGCGGAGGCCCGGGCCCTCGGGAGGAAGCCTGAGGCGTGCCTTCCACTGTCCGGCTATGCCTGGCCAGGGACAGAGCAGCTGAGTCAGGTGTCCCACAGGAGCCCAGCTGCTGTCCATCAGGCACGTCCACTCCTCGGGAGAGGAAGCAGTTCCAGGGAAGCACAGCCCGGTGGCTCGTGCCAAGCAGGATGCGACTCTGCCCACACCGCACCTGGGCAGGGGCCCCAGAGGTGGTCCTTCTGCACGTCCTGACAGCAGCAGCACCCACTCACCTGGGCAGAACCCACCCCTTGATGTCCAAGCTGGATTCTTTCCTGTTGGTCGGTCTTGCTTTTCTGACCACCACCACCAGGTCACTACTAGCACCATGTCCCACCACCAGAATTTCTACAACAGTCCTCATCCCATGTCTCCAACCAGCCTCAGTTTCCGTCGGTCTGCAGATAGCATGGCTGCTAAACTTGAGGTCCTAATGGACAGAGTTCTCTGCAGGCACCTCGGCTGGCTCTGGCTTGCATCCTTTGGATCCTTGATTCCGTGTCTCTGACCTATTCCCGGTCCTGTCTCTGTATGACCACCCAGCCTCTCGGCTCCCATCCCGACTGCCCCATGCGTGACTGTGGTCAAGTTGCATGGGGTGCACCTTCACAACACCTGCCAGAAGCCTTCTTGGCTGCCTTCGGGGCTCCCAGCTACGAGCTCCCAATGTGCTTTAACACTAGTTTTTACAATGAACTTTAAACATCGTTCTCCCATTGCTATCTCAACCATCATTTTATTTCACTATTTATTTATTTTTCACTGTGTTAAGAACTTTTGACATGAGGCTCACCCTCATAACAAACTTTTAAGTGCACAATACAGTGTTCTTCACTGAAGGCACAACGCTGTCCCTCAGGTCTCTGGAGCTTACCTGTCTTTTGTAACTGAAACTTTAGACCTGCTGAACAGCAGCTCCCCTAGCCCCTGGCTACCATCATCCTCTTCTCTGCTTCTAGGAGTTTGACTAATTTAAATTCCTCACATAAGTGGAATCATGCAGCATTTCTGATGAACATTCTAGGTTCCCAGATCTCATTTCTCTCTCCTCATTGGCACTGAGAGGTTGGTGAGAACGGGGACCCCAGGGCAGTGTCCTCGTATCGCTGGCAGCACTCACAGAGGGGCTCTGCCGTGTGGATTTCAGTGGTTGGTTGGTGGCAGCTTCTAGTTTCACACCTCCCGCTCTCCACGAGAAAATTACTGTAACATTATGAAAAACATGCATAGCTTTCTGATATGATCTTGCACTATTTGCTAAAAAAGAAAATAAACAAGAAACCAGAGCTCTTTCTGATGTCCACGGTGTGACACAGCACAGATGCGCAACTAACCTCCCTGCACAGGAAAGGCTAGTGTGGATCTGAGAGGGAAAGGTCAGTGGGAAAAACAAAAAACCCAAAGGGGGGGTCAACCCCTCCCGCCCGGCCCCAAGGGCCCCCAACCCCCCCGGAGCTTGTCATGTAGGGACGGCTTATTCATGAGACACGCTGCTCCAGCCCCGCCCTGGACCCTGGCCCAGGGACGTGAGTGGACACAACCTCGGCCATGGGGGCTCACGCTCAGGCTCAGGAAACGTGAGGAGGCTTCCTAGGGAAGGGACCTGTGTGCTGGGCCAGGGAAGGTGGTTAAAGGTGGGCAGAAGGGAAGTGTGAACAGTGGTCCTGACAGCACGAGCCGCCCGAACACAAGCAAAGGCAGAGAAGCAGCAGGTCAGCCCGAGGAAAGCCCAGGACAGCTGAAAAGTCAGTGATGGTGGCAGCTTGGCAGGTGCCCCTGCTACTCAAGACCGGGGGCTCCTCGGTGGGGAGGGTAAGTGGGTTAATCAGCTCTGGGAGGCGCAGCCTGGAGGAGGAGCACAGAGGCGGGAGCCAGCTTGCTCCAGCATGAGAGAAAGGGGTGCAGCCAGGGCAGGGGCAGTGGGCTGGATACCCCGCAGCTGGACCTGCGGAGACCCCATAAAAGGAAGACTCTGGGACCTTTCAATGAAAGGGGAGGCAGGAGTGCTGCAGCAGAGACAGGGGCTGCCTCCAAGGTCCGGGCCATCTGTGCTGGGCATGGGCTGGCCCGATGCATGTGCCCCCAACATGTCCACACGCCACCGTCCCACCCCGTCAGCTCGGCCCCAGCAGAATGGAGAGCAGCCCTGTTAACCTCTTTAGCCCTATCTGTGATCAGAGAGGGTGGGGCTGAGGCCAGAGCAGAGCCCACCAGGCGCCCGGCAGCCCTCACCACACAGGTGGGAAGCGCTCATAGGCAGACACAGAGGAGAGCCCAGTATTGCCAGCCCAAAGAAGGGCCTAGAATGCAACATGGGAAGTCATCCGGGGCCCTCTAATTCTGTGTCCTAGTCAGCGTTCCCTCCTCAGTTCAGTCTTTTGACTAATGTGCTCATTGCTAATAATTTCAAAGAAGAGCCGGAGAACACAGGCAAAGGCTCTACAGCAGTATGCAGACGCCAGGCCCCTCAGGGCGCACCTGCCACGTGCTGCAATCCCAAACAGCGTCTCAGACACTTTCTGCCCGGTGCCTGCCTCTGCCTGTGTGGAATTAATTCCCCACCTGGCTCCAGGAACTTGGGGCTGCCCGCCCCTCCTGCTGGCCGCGGGAGCCTGGGTCTGGCCGCGCTCAGGTGTCGGGCGTGGGCTGCCCTCTCAGAGACGCCTCTTTCTGCCCCCACTGTGGGCGCAGGACAGGCATGTTCCAGGTGCCGTGAGGCTGGGGCTGAGCATCCGAGGCCTATCTGAGAAGTGCAAGGCGCCGGCTCTTTACCAAGAGCTTTCCCAGGGACTGCCCACCTGGTCCTCCTCGGCCTCCTGTACTGCACGGTCACCCCAGACATAGCAGTGGCTTCCTAATGCTGCCGGTGCTCCCTGGCCTCCCCTACCCTCTCCCTTCAGCCCAGACACAGCAGCTGGAGCCGTCCGTGAGGCTGATGCCAGGCTGTAGCACCCTTATTCACATGCAGCGGTGTCCTTCCACGACCCGCAGAGGGAGACTGGTGTCCGCGCTGAGGTCCAGTGACCTCCTCTTACATGGGCCAGTCATGCGGGCCCCTTGCTGCTCCCCGAGCACGCCAGCACACTCTCATCAGGGCTTTGCAATTTGCACGTGCTGCCCAATCTGCCCGGAATGTACACCCCCAACGTCCCTTCTTAGGGAAGACGCTCCTGACCACTCTGCCTATAGCAGCAGCCTGTCACCCTGTCCCTCCGCACTGCTGTACTTTTTTTGCAGCTATCATCAGCACCTGCAATCACAGCACCTCTCCATCGACGGCCTGGTCCTCCCCCTCACTGGAACGTGAGCTCAGGGGCCCGCCTCTGTTCACCGCTGTGTTTGCTGTGCCGAGAGCAGTCAATGGCACGCAGTAGCACGACACATCTGGTGAACAAGTAAACAAATTCTCCTTTGAAAGCACCACATCTGGGGTGTAGCAAGACCAGGACCAGACCCCCATGGGCTGCCCTTGGTCCCCGTCAGAAGTAGGCATGCCTCGCCTTGGAGCAGGCCCAGGCAGCCCAGCCTCTGCCAACTCCGGGCTGGGGCCCTATATGGCTGGTGCCTCATCAAGGTCAGGGCTGTGCAAGCATCAGCAAAAGCCAGAGTGTCCAGCCACTGGGGTGTTAGTTCCAGGCAGTGGCGGCAGACCCTGGGGCTGCCAGTGGGGGCCCAGTGGAGCCCCCTGCATCTCCCAGTGCCCCGAGGTGGCCAGGAGGGATGCCGGCCCTCCCTCGGCCCGCAGCATAAACATTTCCGAGCCTTCCACAGCACAGACACATGTTCCAGGCTGGCAGCTGGGCCAGGCCCCGCCCACCAATCTGTTTTCCTCAGAGAGCCTTCCTGAACATTGCTATTTTTAGCTGTCGTGTCAGTAATTGACGGCTGCTGGAAAGGTATAAAAGCAGCCGCCAGGCCTCGAGGCTTGCCAGGCAGCTCAGGGAAGAGCCTTCCACTGTGGACCTCGGGCCCGGCACATCGTCCCCTCGTCCTCCTGCCAGTGATCCCACACCGGACACGGGGCTCCAGCTGCCAGACCCCACCCGCCTCCCGAGAGCTTCCCAGGGGCTTCCTGTGGACTGAACTGCTCCTGCTTGTCCAGCCCCACCATCCCCAGGCCCCTGAGCCACAGGTAAGAGAGAGCAGCTGCCTCTGGTTTGAGAGAAAACAGGGCTTTGTCAAGCTTTGAGGGCTATTCCCAGCCTGGACTGGCACGACCCCGCCACAGGTGAGAGACCAGGGCGACACGGTCCTGGAGGGCTTCGTGTTTACAAAGGGGCCGAGGTGTTATTTCCTGTGGTTCCCACAGCAGCCCTGCCAGGCAGGTGTTTGCCACCGTGTTATGGATGGGGACTCGGCGGCTTGGAGAGGTGGCCTTGCCAAAGGTCTCAGGGTCAGTACATGGCAGATCCTGTGTTTCAACCCAGGTTTCCTCTGACCCTGTGTTTGTTAGGTTGGGTTCTCTTATTTGTGCAAACTCTGAAACAACAGTAATAATAAAGTCTTAAGCCCGTGGGTTTTAATGTCAGCAGGAAGGAAGAACCCAGGAGTCCGAGCCCCGGTCTCAGCTCAGGAGACCTCATGCTGCTCTCAGAGCACCTAGTTCCTACAGGAAGCCCCAAATGAGGGAGGTGACACCACAGGGAGTGTCAGGATGGCATGGCAGGCTCTCACCACCTGTCCTCTGTTAACCGACAGGTGGTGATGAGGTCCCGGCTTCTGCTTTCTGTGGCCCATCTGCCCACAATTCGGGAGACCACGGAGGAGATGCTGCCTGGGGGGCCAGGGCAGGAGCCCCCAGCCTCGCCCAGCCTAGATGACTACGTGAGGTCCATCTGTCAGCTTGCACAGCCCACCTCTGTACTGGACGAGGCCACAGCCCTGGGCCGACCCTGGCCACCCCACCAGCTGGCCCAGGTCTGCGAGAAGAGCTCCCCCGCCCCAGCCCTACAGGACATCACTGCCCGTTTCAGTGGCCAGCAGCCCACACTGCCAGAAGCCAACACTGTTGACCCCCTGGACTGGCTCTTTGGGGAGTCCCAGGAAAAGCTGCCAAGTCGGAGGGATCTGCCGAGGAGGACTGGCCCCTGGGATCTGCACAGACAGATGGACGGTGGCAAGGCCAGGGGGGTGCCCAGAGGGCGGCTCTGTGAAGCCAGGGTGCCTGGGCAGTCTCTGGCACAACCACCACGGGACGGGCACCAGAGCTCCAACCCGAGAAGCCAGACTTCTGGACAGCTTGGCCAGGCCGTGGCCTCCCCCCGCCCAAGCAGTGTCCTTAGAACTCTCTACTCTCTACTCCCGGTGATCCATGAACTCTGACCCCACCCCAATAAAGCCTCCTGTAAAGAGCACTCTGGGTCCGCGTCTCCTCCCTTGCCCTCCCCACTGTGGACACTGTCCCTGGCGGGTCTCTGGAAGGGAAACGCAGGCTGCAGGCTGTCTACGTGGGCAATTCATAGTGAGACCCCCCTGTGCACAGCAGCGGCAGCCTACCTCTCATGAGGGGACGTTACTGCACATTGCTCTGCCCCTTACTGGCTTTTCACTTTGAGGAACTTTATTAATGTCTGTTCCTCAGCTTTCTCGTGGGGAGAATGGGGTGATTGCTGGGACCTGCCCCGCAGGCCATTCTGCTGAGTAAAGGCATGCTATCCGCCCATACGCTGAGTAGCTCTTGGTCACAGGTGGGGAGAGCAGCGGTAAGGGTGTGGGGCATGGGGGTCCCAGGGTCCCAGACCCCCAGGTAATTTCAGAGCAAGGCCCTGGGCACTCCCAAGTCAACCTCTTGGCCCCCACCCTCAAAGCCCATGTTCTGTGAGGCCCCAGAGAAAACGTGGAGTCCTTGGGGAACTGTCATCTGGGTACACCCAGGACACCTTGCTGGCTCCAACTCACAAGTCCTGTGGTGGCACTGGGAGAGTTCCCTATGCTAAGGGCCAAGACAGAGCCTGCACCACTCAGCCCACAGGGTGCCAAGTGCCTGGACTGCTGGCACGGTCCCCACTCCCCTTACCCCTATCACTGCCTCCACCGGGGGCCTCACTGCAAGGTCAGGCTCCCACCTGAGAGTGAAAAGCAGAGCACTGCCCAGCTGCTCTGCATCGGGCAAGTCCAGATGTCTCCAGGCCCCGGACAGCCCTAGGTCCCCTGCAGCCTGGACAACCCCAGTTTCTGGAGATGTCTGGCAAGCAAGGGGGTGAAGGTGGGGAACAGGAGGATTTCCTTCCTCAGAGAGGTAGGGGTGGCCTCAGGGAACTGCAAAGACTCCCGTCTGAGGACCCATCCCCCTGCTGCGTTGGGCCAGGCTGGGGCTGTCTGACCCTGCTAAGGCTGGAAGGGACAGAGAGAGGAGGACAGAGCTGTGGGCCATCGGTCTGCTGAGTCTCCTCCTCCTCCTTGCTCTGTGAACTATTGATCTATTTTCTTTCTTTTTTGTGTGGTTATTTTTAATTGCTTTGGACTTGTTCAATGTTTATCTGTCCTCTGTCATGTGTGTTTTCTCGGGAGATGGAATATGAATTGCACATTAGAAAGAAAAAGTTTCAGACAAGCAATTTACTCAGTTTTCTTATCTATAAAATGGAGACGCCACCACCATCCATCGCACCCTCCAGGGGCTGGGGAAACTGTACAGGTGAACTTGGAGACCCGGCCATGAGTGCTGTACACAAATGTTTGCATCTACCACAGCCGCTGGTCTCTTTGGTGGCCTCAAACCTGACCTTCCCCAGCAAATACACGTGAGGCAGCCTTTAGCCAGACCTTCCCCAGGAGCAAGGGGTGGGCGGATGGGCCACGTGGTGCCTGGCTGGGGCCTGGACGGCCAGGCTTGCTGGGCCCAGCGTCCCTGCCAAGCAGCAAGAAACAGCGTGAAGCCTTTCTCCTCTGGCAGCCTAGGTGACAGGATGGCATTAGTGGACTCCCCCACATCCCACCCCCTGAGTCACACTGTCACACTGCTGCGCCTGGGGAGGTCAGGCAAGGTGCTGGGCTTCCCTGCTAATATCCTCTCCTCTCCTGCGAAAGTCTGCGGTACCTTCGGCAGGTGCCTTCGGCAGGTACCTTCGGCAGGTCCCCACCCCCAGCTGAATAAAGGCTCAGAGGAGGGGCATCTGGCCGCGACTCAGGCTCCTGAGGACAGGACAGCCTGGCAGAGTTGCTTTCTCCCCACAATAAGTCCTCCTGGTGGGGGCCCCGATGGAGCATCATCACAGTCCCCCCACTCTTGGCTGCAGTGTGGGATGGGGGATGGGCTGCGGGAATGGGGTGGTGGGGCGGGGCTACACCAAGCCCCGCCCAGAGGGGCAGGCTGGGAAGCACAGATGTCCTTGGGGCCGACCCTTCACTCCAGGGGCCAGTGGTCTGCCAGGTCTTAGGAGAGCGGACAGGGCAACGCTCTGGGGAAGGATCCCGGCCTTCTGCAACCGCACCCGGGAGAGACACGGCCCGCCAGGGAAGCGCCCCGCGGCGCTCGCGTGGCTCAGCGTCGGGACTGAGGGCGGGCCGCGTGTGGTTGCGCTCACGGCCACCAGGGGAGCTCCCGAGCCCGGCCGTGCGGCAGGTGCGCGCAGGCCCTGGCGGCTCCCGCTGCCCTGGCTCACAAAGTCAGTCTGGAGTGATAGGTTCCAGGTGGTCCTTTTTTCTTTTAAGATACCAACCAGCCTGGTTAAGACCCTTTGCCATCTTCAAAAGGCAGACTGCACCCGGCTGCTCATGCTCTTCGTTGTAAATTAGCAAAATTATCCCAAAGGCAAGGTTTGCAATAAATCAGCTGGCGCCTCAGCCAACTGAGGGGTGAGTCCTCCGCCAGCGCTCAGGAAGCTGGGAGAAGGTTCACAGGGAAACACCTGCCCCTGCCCACACGCTACGGACACTGGATGTGGCCGTGGAGGGGAAGCTGCCCCCAAACTGCAGTGCTCTGGCTAAAGTTTCTGCGGAGAGGCCACAGGGAGGGGGCTCTCTTCCAGGGCCCCAGTGGCTCTGTGAGGGCACACTGGGTGGAGAGTCCCTCACAAGCCTGAGGGCGTGTGACCTTAGCTTGGGGAACCAAGGGTGACAAACAGCTCCTCTATTAAGTGATACTCAATTGAGAGCCCAAGAGACCTCCAAAGCTTCATGCTGGAAATGGTATTGCCGTATTATAAGTGACTACTCAGACCTTGGAGCCATGCTGGCATCTTTCATTTATTGCAATGAATGTGACCTTGGACTAGAGACTTAAACTCCAAATGCCTCGCTCTCTTTGCCTGAAGAATGATCATTCCTACATTTCAAACTTCTTAAATAGAGGAGACAAAGTACCTGATGCATTGGAGGTTTCTTGGGGAAGGTCAGTTCCTTTTGTCTACCCAGCCCTTGGGCTTGCAGTGTCCAAGGAAAGGCCAGCCTGGCATGGCCCTGTCCTGCAGCAAGTGCCTGGCCCTGGGAAGTGCCCAGAGGCCCAGGAGGCCCTGGGTCTGCAATTTTCATGATGGGTGATAGGTAGGTCATGGGGCCTCAGTGAGACTGGGAGACCCGAAGGAGTGTGGTGTCCCAGGAGCCAGCTGTGCTACCAGTATCAGAACTCTGCTTCCCCGGCCTGCAGCCTGTCTTTACAGCGCTGTCACCCCAAAAAGTCTTTCCCTTCCTCAGGCTGGCACCCCCATGGCTGTCAGGGCTGCAGAAGTTTCCTGAAAGGTACTTTCTGGTTCGGTGGGGGTCAGGTCATGTCCTCACACACTTTAGGAGCAGGAACATGAAAATCCCCCTGTGGGTAGCTTCCTGCCATTGTGGGCTGTCAGGAGCGCCTCTGCCTGGCTTTGGAGTCCCCACTTCTGTTCGTGGGCTGTCCGGCACCAGGGACACAGGCCCAGGCTCCAGCTTCCCGCCCACACAGCCCTTGCTACAGAGGGGATTATCTTGGGGAATCCAAGTGCCAAGAGCAAGCTGACTGTCTTACTGACAGTTTTCAGGCTTGACCTTTGGCCAGATGCCCTGTAGGGCTGGTTAAAACACAGACAGTGGGGGCCTCAGAGTTTCTGATTCCGCAGGCCTGGGGGGAGGGTGGGGAGCAGTGGAAAGAATTTGCATTTCTAACCAGCTCCCTGGTGGTGTTGGTGCAGGGACCGAACACAGAACTGTCAGGGCCTTGGATCAATCCCCGAATGACTGGAGCCTGAAGAGCAGCAGCCCACCAGAAGAGCCTCCTCAGACCCTCAGCAGTGAGGACTGAACTCTGACTTTTTTCCTTTTGCTAAAAACTCCTTCCTAAGGAGGCCAACTGGGTCAGGCAGACAAAGGGTAAATTCCCACTAAGCGGCTTTTGTTAACCAAATGAAGCAGTGGTTTACTTCCCAACCTGATTCTGGTATGGCTTTAACATCACCTAAAAGATAAGAAGCCCCTGTCTTAACTCAAGCATCCTAGCAGATGCCTATCATAAATTTAAAATGTCTTAACTCAAGCATCATAGCAGATGCCTACTCTTAAATTTAAAGCATCTTAAAACATCCTAGCAGGCGCCTATTGTAAATTTAAAATGTCCTCCTGTCTGGACCTCCCAGAGTGCTCACACTCTTATCTTAAAATAAGCATATCCTTTCTGGTCTCCTAGATAAAGTCTAACTCTCTCAGCCAATTGCCAGCCAAAGAATCTTTAAACCCACCTATAACTTGTAAGCTCCCCCCACCCACTTTGAGATGTCCCACCTTTTTGGGACAAACCAATGTATGCCTCTCATGTATTGATTTGTGACTTTGCCTGTAACCCTCCTCTCTATGAAAATGTATAAAACTGAACTGTAACCCAGCCACAGCGAGCCTACTGCTCAAAGCTTCTTGAGAGTGGCTCCGGGTCATGGTCCTCAAATTTGGCTCAGAATAAACTTCTTTCAAATATTTCAGGGCTTGGATTTTTTCCATCCATAGCAGCACAGACCAAAACCCCTGTGGCCCTATCTGCCATTCCCTCTGTCCCTCTCCCTGCTGCCCAGCACACCAGAGCTCAGGACTCAGGACTCATCCTGTCTCCGCCCAGGCCCGTACCTGCCCGTCATCCAACAACTATGCACTGGGCCCTGCACTGTGCCTGGCCTGGGAATACAGAACAGGCTAGGTCTTACGTATGCCTCAAGTAAGAAAAGAGCAGAACCAAGTTGCAAGGTGGAGGGTGGGCTGGGGACAGGCAGGCTAAGCAGGTGTCAGAGAAGGCCATTCCAGCACAGGGCAGAGTGGAAGTGAAGAAGAAGGAGGCAGTGAGGCAGCCAGATGGGGAGGGGAGCAAATTGTCAGGCCCCTGTGTGGTGGGCAGGTGAAGGGAAAGCAGGCTGTTGGGTTTGTGCCATCCCAGGTTGTCACAGGCTGCCTCAGCATG